TTAAAAAAAAAAAAAAAAAGGTCATGAAATAATAGAATACTAACGATTTACATTAATTAAGAAGTAAGGGAGAAATGCTGATGATAAACTTACACCGATCCCAGAGTGATATTTTAGTTCCATTTGGGTCGAACAATTTAAACGAGGCTCTGTTATAGTATTGTGTAACTAATTTTACTCATTTAATTGTCATTTTCGCTGAAAGTGGTTCAGTGAGTTAACATATTTCATTTTCTGGAAATTATGTTTAGGTATTTTGCATTATGCACGGTATTATAGTTTCTATCATATATTAACCTACTTAACTTCCTGCAATTTGCATGTAGCGATGGTTGAATAGCGAAACCATGCATCTCCGTTTGTGACTTTGCAGGTTTCCTGCATACCTTATTTTTTCTTTGGAAAATTGATCAGCGTAATTTCTTAAAAATTGTCTTGATTTATCTTCCCTAAAAACATGATATTTAGCAGGATATAAAGTCGGCTTGTTTTTCTTTGAAAAGTAAAATAGGAGCGGAAATTTTGAAACGCCGCGATGGAGTACGTGGTTTCGCATTTATCTCGCACTTATTTCGCACTTATCATTCTTAATAATCGCTCGCATCTGGAACAGTTCTAATCTGATTGCGGTCAATCGATGGACACGCGTTCGAAATTTTCGCTGAAAGGACGAGTCACTGGTTTCACGTGAAATCCACTTCCTTTGATTAAATAATCGCGAAATGGGATCCGTTTGTTGTGTGATCATTTGTCATTTTATAGCTGCACCATGCAAACAAATTATAGGTTTGTATGTAAGGTGTTTAATGTCATAGCTCCGACAATAATTTTCAGTCGTTCTCTGTCAGTTCTAACTGATCTTTGTGGAGCCTCATACGATGTTTTGTTATACCACGTGATACTTTTTCAACATTTTCGGGTTTTTGCCTTTTCTTTCCCTTAATTGCACCCTCAAGTTTTCAAACTTTAGCAGTGTTGAAAGTTAAATGCATAGAGAGACCAATGGGAGGTTTCCTCCCAAATGGACGTTTTGGGATAAATGACGTTTCTGTTAAGTGAGTAGATAACTAAATTCTGTTTCTTTAAAGTATTGCGTGTATAAAGTTGAGAATAAAGGAAAATTATTTTTGGCACGGCAACTTTTGGCATCGCAGAGAATGAACTTTCACTAAACACTGATATCTGCCAAAAATAGTTTTTTTTCTTCTTTTTTTTCTGCTATTTAATGGCTTTGTAAAAATAGTTAGATCGATAGGAAAGTAAGCCATACCCCTACCTCAGTGATATCATTTCTTTACGGGATGTTAATTGAAACGTTCCGTTAGGAAAAATTGTGAGTTAATCTTGAGACAGGTGTGTTCTTAATGATTTAAGCACGTATCTGCAATTTTACCAGTTTTTGAAGGTTTTTTAATAAAACGTGGTATTTGTTTCCTTTTTTGGCACGCATATTTATTTAAATTATTGTTGATGCGTTACGCCTGATGCGTAAGACAGTCGTCAACAGATCTGAAAGGGACACGTCGCGTCGTCATGGGCATTTCACGCAGGGTTCGTACTGGGGCAAAAAGTTCCGAACGGCTGCTAGGAAGAAATTTCACGGGCAGCGCTCGACATGGAAATGTAATGATATCGGATGGGGTTTTTGATTAACTGTAGTAGATATGACAGAGAGGAAGTTGACCCATGAAGCCGGTGATTAATGTGAAAAACGCGTAAACGGCGGAATAATGCGCAAGGGGAAGTTGAAGGTTATGTTGCTATGGGAGCAGGTGGTTACCTTTGTAGGTTGGTCCCCTATTTCTCACAAGTACGGCCACGTTTTTTCTTGGCCTTTCATCACTAAGACCAGTCAGTATTTGCAAACCTCTTTTTTTTCTCCCTCAATTTTCAGTACTGTCCCCTCGAAATTGGACTACATTTTGCAATTATAGGAACTATGAATTCTGGCCCGGTTTTAAAACAATGTTTGCGCCATTGGTTTCCCTGTGCACATGAGTGTTTTTTCAGATGAGCCAGAATTTATAGTTCCAAATTGCAGAATGCAATCCAATTAATCATCTCTGTACTTTTGTCACGAAGTTGCATGTCAACTTTATGGATCCGTAAATTCTTTATCACTAATTTTTTTGCTCAATAATATAATTTTTGTCAGAGAGTTAATTTAATTAATTTTTAATCAGTGCGCTAGTATTCAGGGCAAGTACGTTTTGCTTACTGAGCTCAAGAAGCAACACCAAGCAAGTTACCTCAGTCAAAAAATAAATGTATATATTGTCCCGAAAGAAAACGCTTTATCATCGAGACAATGTTTAAAAGTTGCACGTTCAGTCTCTTATCAAATCAACTAACTTTTTTGTAAACAAAAAGATGACTTGGAATTTTATGTTTTCATCGATTGATTTCGCATCCCTTTGGCAAATCAGCCAACTATCGATTTATTTTAAAAAGTTCTCCGCAAGGTTTAGCTTAACGTAAGTACAGTAAGAATCCACAAATTCTCCTTTTCTTGGTGTAGAAAACAAAAAGTCGTTTGTTCTGATTTTGCTCGAACCTTTCGTATCGTGTGAAAAGGTCCGATAGTGCAAAGCGAATCACAGTAGGGCAGTGCAAGAAACAGCCGGAAAGCCTCTTTGTAAATCTAGGTTACCAAATCTCGTGGAAAATCCAATCATTTGATCAAAATAGCTTTGAGATGTAGGATTTTCATGGTGCACCTTGGCATCGCCGTTGTTGACTTTGCATTTGCGGGTAAACATGACAAATCCGTCCGCTATGATGTCATCGCGATCACCACAAATATTTGACTTTTTGAATTGATACGGGAACTTTGTACACTGATCTACGGCCAGTGCACATCCGAAGAACTTGACATTGCGAACTGCGTGGTCCGGGGCTTTGGCCCTAAAGCGAATCGACTTGAACGTATTCCTTTTATGTTATCTCCGCATGCAATTCAGAGGTTAAGCAAATGTGATTAGCCTACAGTTGAAGACCGTAATCAGTAGTATTTGCCTACGAGAGTGTGAAATGACACAAAAGCCCGCGGGGCTCAAACGTTTAAGGACGGATTCGTTTATTTTTCGATTAATATCTTCGGTTCAATAATTGGACGTATTTCTGCCAATCGGAGCTACGTGCATTAAGAAATGAGCCCTGAGATCCATAAGAATATGTGCGTAACAGGACTCACGTCATAATGTACATAGTTCCGTTTTGCAGAACTGCGTCCAATTAAGAACAGGAAGCTCTGTAACTGGAACTCTGAACAAAGTTCTTGCCGTCATTTTGTAAGTTTTTTCTTGGGAATATCTCCCCCTTGAAAATTGCTCTCGAAATTAGCAAACATTCATTCTTGCGCATGAGTACAACGCCCTACTCGTCGGAGGTATTGATAAAAATCCGTAATTTCCGGAAAATTCACTAGAGGCCTTAGATCCTAAGAAGACGGAGTATCCATTCTGGATCTGAAAGAGAACTTTTAATTTGTCATAGAAATAACTTGGTTTCTTTTGATATTCGATCAGTTCCCTGAATTTTTTTGAAGCTTTCTAATTTTTTAAGGAAGAGGAATGAGAAAAATATTGCAAAGCTGAGGAAGAACGCCATATGAATATTCGAGAATTGCCAAATTGCCCCGTATAAAACATTTATTCTTGTGAACAAGTATGCGTATTTTTCTTTGACATTTTCGGACATTAAGACGAATCTGTGAATAAAATCGCCTGGAAAAATTGAAGGAAAAAATTCACGATTTTCCCAGTAAATTAAGATTTTATTGAAGGAAATTTGACAGCGTCTGAAGGTTCATACGGCGTTCTTCCTTAGCACAGAAGAATAAGAAATGCATACAGTCGGCGGAACGGCAACAGCGAAAGAAAATGCGGAATTTGAAGATAATTTGTTGGGTGTGCGAAGTAGGGGGTGAGATTGGGGTTGGGGGATGGGGGAGGGAATGGGGGTCGGAGGGCTCTAA